AATGGTTTTAATTGAACCCTAAGATGATACAATAGTAAAGTGTAACATTTTTGGTATCAAAACGGAGATTCTAGCATAGGATAGAACGCTTTGCTTAAGTTATTCGATTAGATTTTAGGATTAGTTAAGAAACTGACACGTCTTTACAGGAATCAGGATGGAAACTATCACACCTTACTTATATAATATCTTAGAATCTATTTAGAATCCTTTTTGACCACATTGGATGATCTTGAGCTCAAAATCTCCTTTAGGATGTTACTTTTTCGAAATTACTGTTCACTGTGCAAATTTCAGATTATAGGTCCAACTTTCAAAAAAGCATAACTAATTCTACAAAAATCATATGTAGGTGTTTCAAAATTATACAAAAAGCTCTTTCAATTCTATTTAAGGGAAAAATATCTAATTGTATTATTCTTGCCCAATTCATACAGTTTATTGGATAACGATTACTGTTTATTTGGTAAAATCTGGACTTTCCAGATTCTATACCTGAACTTTGGAAATTCATATCTCCTTATGTACACATCCAATTGAGGGGATCTACATCTCATTTTAAAGCTTGGGATGTGTAATATAAGCCTTCCAAATCTTGTGACTTAACTCATTCATTTGATTAGTCAACTGGAGCTACAAACTCACTGCTCTAGGACCTACGTTTTATCCCTTAACATCTCTTTACTTTAATTCTTTTTATTTTCTTGGGTATACATAACATGGGCTTACTCTTTTCCATTCATACTCATGCACTTTTATTCATGCTATAAACATTGTAATTAATTACACGGCATCATTGACATCCATAACAATAATTACATAACAAGAGAATTACATATTGAATGATATAACATTCATTAACATCAACATTCTCTACTTTCTCTTTTTCTTCTCCTTGCTTCTCATGCCATTATTGCCCATTGATGATTGACCTAAATGTTTGGTTAGGGAGGGGTGAGATTTGGAGAAATCTCAGTAGCAAACAATACCATATTAATCATGCTAGATGGATGCTAATGCACTACACATAACTTGTTTATTCTCTTGTTAATTAGTGACTTATTAGCATGCTCAAAGCTAACTTCTTGATGCATGGCCATGGGGACATAATCTACTCATCATGAATAGCAATTACAGCAGCCAAAACATGTCGCAATAACATTCAAAACATGTACACGGCAAACACACAAGCATACAACATCAAGCAATGACAATAGGTAAGTTCACTACCTTGCACCTCAAGCTTTCCTCTTACTTTTCCTTTGACTTCCTTGACTTTCCAACCATGTGGGCATTCGGTCAACATCACCAAACATCCTTTTGAATGTTTTAAAGGTCCTAAACATAGTCACATTGATCATACAATCCGTTAGGACCTGTAGATTACATAAAGTTCAAGACTAGCTCTCTTGAACCTCAACCCTTTCTCTTGCTTTTAGGGTTTCCTTTCTAGCTTTTCTAACATAAATCTCATCATTTCCCCTCATTAAGGTCTATTTGTTGTCAATTAGGACCACTTTAGATGGCTTTAGATTCAAGAATATCAAATCTGGAAATTTTGGTTCGCGGGTACTGTTCACGCAAAAACTCCAGAATTTTTGCTCAACTTTGAAACTTTATAATTAATTCTAGAAAAATCAAAATTGAGTGGTTCCAAGTCTCATTGAAAGATACTTAAGTTAAATTTAAATGAAAAATAATTTCAGGAACCAATTCCATGTTGAACAGTACCGGAATTGTACGAAACTTGACATTCTTCCAAAAGTTCAACACTGTTTCCAGGTTTCAATCCCTAACTTTGAAAAATCACCATAAATCATACACATATCCAAATGAAGTGTTCTACCCATGGATTTAAAGCTTACAAAGTGTACTTTAAGCATGTCAAATTTCAAAATCAGATACGTACAGTAACTAATTCAAAATAGGCATAAAATCATCACATAATTCTTCCAATTTCCACATAGATCCACTTGAAACAACCTCTAATCAATGTGTTCTAACCAAGTTTAACATCAAAATCATCCTCCCTTAACTCTTATTAATTTCGGCCAGCACCTTGCCCTAAGGGAAACCAAACCTTTCAACCATAAAAACTAAAACGTCTTGCCTTTAACCCCTCAGAGCACGCATTCATAAGCGTTGTGGTTCAAGCAGATCATGACACAAGCCCGTGGATTTAAAATTTCAACATAACTACTCGGGTTACTATTCACTATTAAATTTCCAGATTATAGGTCCAACTTCAAAAATTCATAACTAATTCCATACAAATCATATTGAGGTGATCTAAGATTCTACTGAAAGCTATTTCAATGCTCTTTAAGGGAAAAATATCCAATTGGACTTATCCTTACCCAATTTGTACAGTTAAATCAATAGATATTACTATTCATTTCAAAAATCTAGAACTTCCAGATTCTGTGCTTCAATTTTAGAAATTTGTATCTCCTTGTGTACACATCCAATTGAGGTGATCTACCTCTCATTTTAAAGCTTGGGACATGTGCTATAAGTCTATACCAAATCTCATGACTTCACTCATTCATTTGATAGGTCAAACTGGAGCTACAAACTCACTGCTCCAAGTCCTACGTTTTATCCCTTAACATCTCTTTACTTTAATTCTTTTTATTTCTTTGGCATACATAACATGGGCTTTCTCTGTTAGGATTATGGTTTTGATGATAACAAAGTTAGATTAAATTGGTTAAGTGTGTTGATCGATTAGATGATCGATCAAATGATTATCGATAAGCTGTCAGATAATTCTTCAGTGTAAATCAGTTAAATGTTAAGTATTTTAATCGATGAGCTGTTCGATAATTCATTGATCGATAAAATGATCGATTATCGCTAACATAAAAGTCATGTAAGGTAACTGTCGATTATCGATAAATTGATCGATAATCCAAGATGATCAAACAAGTGACAGATAAAAAGAAGTGAATCTGAACTGCTTTTATCGATCAAGTGATCGATAAATAAGTTATCGATAACGACATCAATAAATGGTAAGACACTCTACCTATTTTGCTTATTGATTCTATCATTGTTTATCGATCACATTATCGATCATTTGTTTATGGATAATATGATCGAACATTGAGCTCTAACCTTCTGAATGCAGGTACTGATTATAGACTATTGTTCGATAACTTTATTGATCACCTAATCGATAAACCATTTTACTAAGAGATTTATATTTAAAGGAACTCTGGTTTACATATCAGCTTAAGATTTCCTGTTGCATTTTATCGATCACCTAATCGATGAACCATTGTTCCATCATCTGATCGATAAACTTCTTTAACTGATCTAAAAAACTCTCACTCTGTTTATCGATAACCTGTTCGATCAACCAATGATCGATCACCACTTCGATCAACCATGTCCAGAATATCTTTCTGCACTTTTGATGGACAATTGATTTAATCTAGAATCATTGATTAATCAAATAATCATTCTTTCTGTTTCATTTTAAAGCTTACACTGCAAGACTCTTACTTGTTGAAGTTTAAAATATGGTTGCAGATTACTAAGAGAAATTACAACGGCTCTTCGATGGGATTATGTAACCTGCAACCTACTGTGTCAGAAACGTAGAAGCATTAATGGCAAAACCGTTGTAACTGGGAAAACACGCAAACAGAGTCACAACAGCTAGAAGCTCATCCGTCTAACGGTTACTTAACGACCGTAACTATAAAAGGCGTAAAGAAGCATTAATGAAAGGATTGAATACCCGAACTACCATCTGTAATCATTTACTACTACATTCAATACCCTGTTTCTTTATTATTATTGAGTGTCAGTGTTCATCACTTATTCTACTCTGTAAGAGAGTCAATATCTATCTTTCATTAATCATCTGAGTGATACTCGAGAGTGTGGACTCTTGAGTGGGCTTGTATCCTTACGGGAGTAAAGGGGAGTGATTGAGTGACTCAATTACTATACTGAGGCACCAAGAGCCTGATCAATCTTGGAAGATAGTGAAATACTTAGAGGTGTTCTGAGGACTGGACGTAGGTCAAGTGGTTAAGACCAAACCAGTATAAATCCTGTGTCTTCCTCTCTGTGGTGAAATCCCTCCTAACTCTAACTCTCTGTTTCCGATATTGTCTAGTTTTAATTTTGCAATATTTTTTGACTCACCCAATTCACCCCCTTCTTGGGTGAGACTGCTACTAACATTTGGTATCAGAACATGTCTCTTCATTAAAAATTTAACAGTCTGAAGAGAGATCCAATGGCAGGATTCAGAGACAGTGTGCTACTGGAAGGATGCTCAACGTCCAAACCGCCAGGCTTCAATGGAGAAAATTACACCTTCTGGAAAATGAGGATGAAAATCTTCATCAAGGCCACAGAGTATAGATTGTGGGATGTAATAGAGCACAGCAACTATGTCCCAATGAAAACAATAGACGGACAGCAAGTATGCAAGAGTCCCAGGGAGTTCGATGAGGAAGACAAGAAGCTGGTGACCCTAAACGACAAAGCTATCAACATACTCATATGTGCACTTAGCCAGAGGGAATACTTCAGAGTTTCCAGCCTGGAGGTTGCGAAGAAAATGTGGGAAGCCTAGAGATAGCTCACGAAGGAACCTCCGGAGTAAAAGAGAGCAGAATCAACACTCTCACAACAGAATTTGAACTCTTCAGAATGAAGGAAGGGGAGAGTATACGAGACATGGAAGTCAGATTCTCACATCTCATAAACCACCTGACGGCACTCGGAAAAAAATACAGTCAGGAGGATCAGGTGAGGAAAATCCTAAGCGATCTCACAAAAGAATGGGAACCGAAGGTGACAGTAATTGAGAAAACCAAAGGAGAGTCAATTGTGTCCGTTGCAGCATTATTCGGAAGTCTTGCCGAATATGAAAGCAAGCAAAAATACAAGAAAGAGATGAATGAGAGAACCCCAAAGGCATTGCCCTTAGAACTCAAGAGAGCAAAGATGACAATGAAGAAGATATGGAGGACAACGAAATGGGCCTTATCATCAAAAGATTCAAGAAATTCTACAAGAGTAGAGCTAGAAAGAAGTTCCAGACAAAACGCAGAATTTCAACATCGCAAAATGAATCAAAAGAGCCTATCATCTGCTTCGAGTGCAAGAAACCAGGACACATCAAAGCAGAGTGCCCTCAGCTATCCAAGATGAAAGACAGAGAAAAGAAGAAAGAAAGATTCAAAAAGAAGGCTTTTGTTATGTCAATATGGGGAGACAGCTCCTCGGAGGAAGAAGAAGAAAGTGATGATGAAGAAACGGCCAACATCTGTGTAGTGGCCCAGGAAAACGAGGAATCAGAGATAGATGAGGTAATTATTTTAGAACCTTCCTATGATGAGTTACAGTCTGAATACAATGCATTACATTTAGAATTAGTTAGAATTGCAAAGGAGTTGGTAAGCTCCAAGAAAAAAATAAAGTTCTTAGAAGAACAACAATCAAAGTCTGAAGACAATGTAGATTTGCTCCCAGTTTGCAAAGATTGCGAAATAAACAAAAAGAAGGTTGAGGATCTTACTAAGAACTTTAGAAAAATTTACTAAGGGTAGTGAAATGCTTAAAGTAATCCTAGGAGCTCAACGATGTTTGATGGATAAAACTGGTATAGGATACGATCCAGCTCAGGATAAGTCAAAGGGAAAGAAAAAGAGTAGTGGTAGATCATATCTTACATATTTTAGAAATACTGCGCACTCTTCCAATCCATTTGCACTATGTCCTTACTGCAACCGTAAAGGCCATTCAACTTTTTCTTGTTACCATAAGAAGAAAGGAACCTACAGAACATTAAAATGGGTACCCAAAGGTACTTATGTACCAAAGACAACTCATACTAACCAAAAAGGACCCAAGAAGGTATGGGTACCTAAAACATGATTGTGATTTTGCAGGTATGTCTCAAGGCATCTAGACACATGACGGGTGACACTGAGAAGTTTACATCACTCAAACCAAAAGAAGGAGGAAAAGTAAGTTTTGGAGGAAACCAATCGAGAAGAATTGTTGGAATCAGAGAAATCGGAAGTAACATGGGCATGAAGGTTAAAGATGTATACTACATGGAAGGTCTATGTCATAATCTCCTCAGCGTCAGTCAAAGTGCGGACAAAAACAACTGGGTGATCTTTGATTCTGAAGAATGCTTAATCATAAGTAAAGATGACCTACCTTTGAAGAAAGAAGAGTTGAATACAAAGCTGAGAGCTTCGAGGGACGGTAACTGTTATACACTTCAAATTGATTCTAAAACCTCTGAAAACTGTTTTATTAATAAAAAGGAGGAAAGTTGGATTTGGCACAAACGTCTTGTACATGTTAACATGAATCAACTTTCAAAATTAACAAAAAGGGATTTAGTTCTCAGTTTACCAAAAATTCAGTATGAACGTGATATTATTTGTGATGCATGTCAAAAGGGTAAACAAACAAAGTCTTCATTTAAATCAAAGAAGACAGTCTCAACTGAAAGGCCACTCCAAATGCTCCACATGGATTTGGTTGGTCCATCATGAGTAAAAAGTTTCGGTGGAAATCTGTATACTCTTGTGATAGTTGACGACTATTTGAGATTTACCTGGACTTTGTTTCTTTCCTCTAAAGATGAAACGTTTAATGCATTCATTGTTTTTGCCAAAAAGGTCCAAAATGAGAAAGGTATATCTATTATGTCAATCAGGTCTGATCACGGAGGAGAATTTGAAAACAACGAACTTGCAAACTACTGTGATGAGCATGGAATTGACCACAACTTCTCTGCACCAAGAACTCCTCAACAGAACGGAGTAGTTGAACGAAAGAATAGAGTGCTCACGGAAATGGCTAGAGCAATGTTGAACGAGAAAGGAGTCTCACAAGTATTCTGGGCAGAGGCAATGAGCATAGCTTGCTACATATCCAATAGAGCCTACATCAGAACGCTACTCAGGAAGACACCATATGAACTATATAAGGGGAGAAAGCCTAACATGGCTCATCTAAGGATCTTCAGGAGCAGATGCTATATTCACGACAACAACAAAGAAAATTTGGGTAAATTCGATCCTAAAGCTGATGAGGGTTTGTTTCTTGGTTATTCTAATCATAGTAAAGCCTACAGAATTTTCAATAAACGAACTTTTACAATAGAAGAATCAATTCATGTTGTGTTTGCTGAAACCGAACTAATTTTAAAACCTCTAGATGATGATGCTGAGATCGTTCAAAATTTTCAAAAATTGGATTTGAACAAGTCTTCAAACAAGCTACCTTCAGAAACCTTTTCAGAAAACAGGGATGATCTAAATGACTCATTTTCGCAAGAAAATTTAGAACAGCCTAAGGCCTGGAGACATAATCGAGATCATCCACTGGAACAAGTCATTGGTAAAGTCAATGAAGGGGTTAAAACCCAGAGACAAGTGTTCAATGAAGTGCGTTTCTCTGCATTCATATCTCACATTGAACCTACCAATGTTGACGAGGCCCTATCCGACGAATTCTGGATAGTCGCAATGCAAGAAGAGCTTAACCAATTCAAGAGAAATCAAGTTTGGGAATTAGTACCCAGACCTAATGATCATCCGGTCATAGGCACCAAATGGGTATTCAAAAATAAGCTCGATGAATCTGCACAAATCGTCAGAAATAAAGCCAGATTGGTAGCCAAAGGTTATAATCAAGAAGAAGGTATTGATTATGAAGAAACATATGCTCCAGTAGCTAGACTAGAAGCAATACGAGTACTTTTAGCGTATGCTTGCATCAAAGACTTTAAATTGTATCAAATGGATGTTAAAAGTGCATTTTTAAATGGTTATATTTCAGAAGAAGTCTTTATCGAACAACCCCCTGGTTTTAAAGATTCAAATTTTCCTGATCATGTTTATAAACTGAAAAAGGCTTTATATGGTTTAAAGCAAGCTCCTAGAGCTTGGTATGAACGACTTAGCAACTTCCTGATAGAAAAAGGATTTGAACGGGGCAAAGTGGAGGCCATACTTTTTATTAAAAGAAAGAAGAAAGATATTTTGATTATTCAAATTTATGTGGATGATATTATTTTCGGTGCTACTAATGAAGATCTTTGCCAAGAGTTTGCTAAGCTAATGCAGGGGGAGTTCGAAATGTCAATGATGGGTGAGCTAAATTTCTTTCTGGGATTACAAATCAAGCATAAGAAAGACGGGATATTTATATCCCAAACGAAATATTTGAAGGAATTATTAAAGAAATACGGGCTGGAGAATGCCAAAAGCGTAAAGACTCCTATGAGCTCAACCTGCTCGCTTGATGTAGACGAAGATGGCAAAGACATAAACCTAACAAGATACAGAGGAATGATCGGCTCATTACTATATCTCACTGCTAGTAGACCAGATATTCAATTCAGTGTGGGAATGTGCGCAAGATATCAATCAGCTCCAAAAGAGTCACATGAAGAAACTGTCAAGAGGATTCTCACATATCTTGTAAGAACTCAAAATTTAGGAATCTGGTATCTAAAAAGGGGAGCTGAATATCTAATGGGATACTCAGACATAGATCATGATGGATATAAGACGGACAGAAAAAGCACCAGTGGACAATGTCAATTTTTTCGGAGGATGTCTCGTCTCATGGTCAAGTAAAAAGCAGAATACTATGGCAATCTCCTCAACTGAATCAGAATATGTAGCCACTGCCTGTTGTTGCGCTCAGATCTTATGGTTAAAGCAACAACTACAGGATCAAGGAACTAACTTACGTGAGATTCCAATCCTATGTGATAATACGAGTACGATAAGTGTAACACCTTACATTTGCGACCTTATATTGTATCAAGTTAAGATATTCAGAAGCGCAATTTAAGGTTACTGGGTTGAAAAATCTGAATTTGAAAATTTCTTTTCCCGCATTACTATTCACTGTAACCTTAAACTTGGCATAACTTTGGAAAATCATAACTAATTCTAGAAAAATCGAAACAAGGTCGTTCCAAGTTTCACTCGAAGCTCTTACATCTTCTATCAAGAAAAATGACCTCAGGTTCCACTTTAATCAGAAACGTATTCGATTTTAATTTCGAAAAGTACTGTTTATTTGGTCATTTTTCTATTTTCAAGGATTTTTGCCTAACTTTGAAAAGGCATAACTTCTTGCACAGAGCTCCAATTGTGACGCTTTATCACTCATTTTAAAGGGAAAAATAAGATCTAATTGCATGCCAAATTTCAGGGAAAAAGTCAACCATTTGACTAGAGTCTTCGTTGGTCAAAGTTTGGTCAAATCTAGACCATTTTTATCCCCTTTTTCACTAATTCTAGCACCATTTCGTTTTTCACTATAAGCATACCATAATCACATATAAAGGTGCTCTACCATTAATATACATTTCAAAAGGTCATCATATCATGTATTCAAGATCAAAATATGCTTAAATGGCTTGAAAGAGAAAGGTTCAAAACCATATAATACAGTACATAACTAATAACTTCCTCAAGCCATGATTATTTCTTTTCCCTTCTCCTTGGAAGTAGTAGCACCTAGAATACCATGTTATAGGAGGAATGAGATTTCATAGAAATCCCAGTAGCATTGAACATACAACCATCAAGTCAACATGCATAAGATGTCATGCTACATGCAGTAAAATAACATTGCTAGTCTTTATGCCATGCCATAACCATTCTGTATCCATGTCATCATATCATGGAGCATATAATCATTCTGGTCAAAACTCAATCATGCAAGAGCCAAGGCATACATTGCAAGGAGTTCACATCATCTGTACATAAACATTCTCATGGCACATAAACACACATAGCAGAAACACCAAATGCAGGTCAACAAAATAATTGCAAGTTCACGCTACCTCGGTTCCACGCTTACTATTTCCTCCTTGTTTCCTTGCTCGAGATCCTCCTAGATTTCCAGAAAATTGCCTATCAACCATACAGTAAGGGTATGGTAAATTCCATATCTAGTATACAATTCTTTCTCTATATAATGCTACCCTTGTGCCTTTCAATTTATAATTTCTGTATACCTTTCCTAATCCTTTGACTTTGGTTTGACCAAACCTTAATCCTCAGTTAAGGTCTTGGAATTCTTCCTTAATCCATGATTAATCATGCTTTCTTGGTCAATCACTAACCCTTAGTCCTTAATCCAATATTTAATTAAGGTCCTCAAGTCACATAGTCATTAGTACAACATAATCTTCTAAGATTAAGTCACTAATCCCTTATGGATTAACCATTAATCATCCTCTAATCAACATGATTAACCTTTAATCATTCGTTAATCAATATGATTAATCATAATTAATCATCCTTCAATTAGCATAACTAAT